CACGGACAATACTCATAATTATGGGGTTTATCAGGGAAGTAACAGGTTACAATTCAGAATCAGGAACAACTCAGGATATGGGTCTTCTGTCAGGACAGGCTCTTCTCAGCTGTGCCCGCAGGCAGGCCTCTCTCTGGCCCTCGGCTCCTCGGCCTAGCCTCTGTCCTGCTCAGGCAAGGGTTACAAAGATCTTTAGCTTCACCAATAAGTGCCGCCCCACTCGACCAGGAAGCCTCCTCCTGCCCAAAGGCTCTCAGCTCTCTCACTGCGTGAGTTGTGGGTCAGCAGGCCTTCTGAAATCCACCGCGCTGTCTCCCAGGGGTCTCCCAGTTCTGCCGCTGCTGTTTCTCTGCCATTGCGTTACTCCATCTTGTACTGCCTCCAGTGTTATAGCTCTCTCCCTGTCTCCTGGGTCTAGGGGGTTCTCAGCGCAGGGATCCCGGGCCCAAAGGATGTGCTCTGCTCCCATTTCTTCTTTTTGGTGACAGTGAGGACCTCCCCTCACTCTGGGATTGGCTCTCTTTTTTAAGCCTAGTGGGATGGCAAAACTGACCAATCCCCTTGTTAGGATTCCATACACCTTATTTGCATGGCCCCACACCCACAGGGGTTCCATGAACCTTATTTGTTCTTAGAAGGCTGTCCAATCTTGTTGGTAGGCCACAAACATCATATTTGCATAGTCCTACCCAATCATTTTGTGGGAGTCACAAAGACTATGGCTAGAAGGCCATATGAAGTAATTCACTGTACCGCACAAACTTTATGTGAAGAATCTCCCCCGTGGAAGTACAGACTTCAGACTGAGCAGCTCACCCGAAGGAGTCAGAAATCTGGATGATCTTCTCTGTGGCAGGAGGAGAGAACCTCATCAAAACGGGCTACATTTCCAGGCTGATATTTCCTCAGTATGCGAACCAGGGTTTTGATAGAAATATTACCATGGAAGCTAGAGTTCTAGGTTACCTTGGAGATAAATTTCCTACCTCCGTCACTTCTTACCCAATTCTGTATGTCCTCCATGCCCTAATTCACTTGGAAGGAAAACTGGTGTGAGTGGCCCAGTTTACTCTCCTCAGGCAGATGGATGTACCCAACAAAGGTTTAAGCGCTCGGCACACAACAAGCCCAGGAGCAATTCTCTAAGCAGCTCTGTGAGCCAGAGACTTCATATGCTAACTATGAGTAATGGGACAGCTCCTACCCAGCAGTGAACTGGGCACATCACATTCAGCTTCTCCCAAAGTGATGGTGGTGGAGGGATAAATTTCAGTAAAAAAAGATTATGCCAGAAACAAGTTCAAAACTGGGAAAAAGGAGACCCTGAGGCAATAAAAAATATGTTAGCATCTATATTCATGTGTGAGATTGGCCTGTATTTTCCCTTTGAAGTTAGACAGACCTGGGTTCACATCACAGTTGTATCACTTTTTATTTCTATCATTCACCTTCAAATCCACAACAACTGTCATCATTTTTAAAACAATAATAAAACCACTGACTTCACAAGATTGTTGTGAGAATTATAATAACCAACAAAGAGTCTGGCAGCCAGTAAGCACTCATATTCTGGTTGCTTTTCGTCCTCTGGCTAGAATGTCCTTCACGATTAAATGCCTGTTGAATGTAATTCATCTTTCAAATTCCAGCTCAAATGTTAATGCCTCTTCGCACTTCCTCACCGCCAACATCAAATGTGATCGCTTCCTGAACACTTTGCCTTCACCTTTATTGTAGGACTTATCCCACTGTTCTGTAGTTACTGTTTTTTGGTGTATTTGCCCCTAGACTTGAGCTCCTTGACGGCAGGGACTGCGTCTTATTCACATCTGAACCCCCAGTGACTCCATAACTGTTTATTGAACTGAAATTAAATCAATCTGCCCCATTTTCATCATCTCCGACAGAACCACAAAGAGCTCAATGTACTACTACCTAACTCTAATTTAGACAAGAGTTTCCTTTCTCATTCACATCTTGAGTATTTATTTTTGTGTGCGTGTGATTAGCAGATGTGTAGAGAAGAATGAACACAGCAGACCTGAGGCTGTCTTTAAAGGCTGCTTCTAAGATCGGCCATTGGCTGGCATCTGGGAACCTGGCTTTCCTCCATTCCCTAATGATAAGTGTGCTTCACTGTGCCCACAAACAATGTGATTTACAGTGAACACCAGCTTTCCTCCTGGGAGTTTAGAATTTTAGTACACGCCTGGCAAAGGGTACGTATGTGATCAGCCCTCAGTAAAAACCATGGGTGCTGAATCTCTAATGTGCTTCCCTGGGCAGAAACAAACACGTTACTGCATTTTTCATCACAAAAGAAAGGAGCACGCTCAAATGTGTCCCCTCACAGGAGAGAGAGAAGATAAAGAAGCCTGCGTGTGGCTTTCCCCAGATTCTGCCCATGTCTTTTCTCCTTAGCTGATCCTGCCGTGTATCCTTTCACTGTAATAAGCCTTAGCTGTGAGTACAACTATATGCTAACCCTGTGAATCCTTCTAGCAAATTGCTGAACATGTAGGTGGGTCTTGGAGACCCCCAGAACAGTATGTATTTTTAATGTGATTCTTCTCACCTCTATTTCGTATTCTGAAAAATTTTAAATCTACATAAAAACTGATATATACCTCCAGACAATGAAACTGATCTGACATCCACTGCTAAACCTCAAGATTATTACAAGCTGCTCTGACGCTCACGGCCAGGCCATTTCATTCTCCTGTTGAAAATAAACAGTCTCACAGAATACAAACCTCAGACAAGGTTACTCTGAGACCATGATAAAATGAGACAAAACATGGCCACTACATAATTCTGTGTAAGCACAGGTTGCTGTGCCACCCACAAAATATCCAATAGAATTGTCCCCGCTTTCTGAGAGCATCCAATCTAGAGTGAACCTCTGCTTCTTTAGACCCTCGTCCCAATCACCCAGTGTAAATACACTATAATCTTCATTCTCCTGATGAATAATGAGCATTTAGATTGTTTTCAATTTTTTGCTGCAAAGAACATTTTCTCTCCTTGTGCGTATGTGTAAGAACTTCTCTAAGGAGCAAAATGCCTAAGGCATAAGGATACGCACAGCTTCAGCTGGATTTTGCTGTGGTTAGCTGCCGTCAAGTCGATTCCGACTATGGTGTGAGCAGAACAGAACTGCCCCAAGGGGTTTCAAGGCTGCGACCTTTCAGGAGCAGATCACCAGGCCTGTCTTCCGAGGCACCTCTGGGTAGGTTCAAACCGCCAACCTTTCAGCTAGTCGTGCCAAACTGTGCCTTTCACCTAGATAGTGCCAAACTGTTCTCCAAATCAGCTGTACCAATTTACACTCCTAGCAATTGTATATAAAACTTCCTTTGTTGAACATCCTCACCAACAGTTGGTAACATCAGATTTCTTAATTTTTTCCAATCCAATAGGTGGGATGAGTATCCCAGCATTTTCATTTACATTTACTGTTAAGCATCTTTTCAGGTTTATTGACCATTCTCTGAACTGTTTATATTCACTACCCCTTTTTCTATTGAGCAATATGTCTTTTTCTTATTGATTTGTAGGTGTTCTTTATATATTCAACACGCTAATCATTTGTCCACGATATATGCTGGAAATATCTTCTCTAAGCTTGTCTTCAAATTTGTCAATCTTTTTCTTAGGGCTTGTGCTTTTCGTGTCTTGTTTAAGACATTCTTCTCTATCCCAATATCATAAAAGAAGTCTTCTCTGTTTTCTTTCAGTAGTTCTGCTTTTTGCATTTAGGTCATTAACCTACCTGGAATCAATTTCTGTCTATGGCATAGGTGGGATCTTATTTTATATTTCTGTTGCTCGTGTAACCGATTGTTCCCGAATGGTTCTTCCTTTCCCCAAGAATCTGTAAGGTCACCTCTATCATGCAGTTAGTTCGCATACATGGAGAAGTCTGCAAATAGATCCTATTCTTTCCCATAACTCTGTGTGTCTATCCCTCTCATCTAACTTTAAACATAATAATAATCCCTTACACTTGAATAACACACTAGAATTTGTAAAGCACATTCAAATCCATTATCCAATTCAAACTTCAAAACAGTCCTGTGAATTGGATGTTATTATTCACATTTATTTAGAAGAAGAGACAGAGGTTTACCGAGGTTAAATGAATTATCCATGGTCACTAGTTAGTAAGCGGAAGAATAAGGACCCCATTTCATCCCTTTGGTTACCACTCTTTCTACCAGGTCCTCTGTTAGGAAAGCTCAAGAACAATACTTTCAAACATCTCCCAAACATACTTAGTCCACATACAATTAAAACAAACAAAAACCACGCTTTAACAACTGCAGTGGTTGGCACTAAACCTGTCCATTATGCTTATTTTGAAAGTGAACCTGGCCCAAGCCCCCTAGACCTCAGCTGGCCTCTGCGCTACTGCTCACCTCAAGCACAGACAATGCCACTGATGAAGTGTTAAGCGCCCTAAACCACTGCGCCACCAGGGCTCGTATTTTCCAGAGGGAAAGATTAAATTTAACAAATTCAAGTCAACACTCAAAGAGCACCTACACTTTTCAAGGCAATCTGCCAGATGGGGTGATAGACCCAAACGTAAATGCCTGACCAGCAGGCAAAAAGAGTTAAGTGGAGTGGATGAGGCTACCAAGTGCTAAAGACGTCAAGAAGCAGGGAGTAAGGATGACAGTACTAAGAACATTCCAGACTGAAAACTACAGTTCTTCAAAGATAGGAATCCTGGATGGTTTAAACAGGGTGGGGGTAGGGGAGAGAGTTGCACACACAGATCCTGGGGTCTCCACCATTGAGGAGGCCTCAGCTTGTTCACACTGGGGGCCAATGAGATTAAATATAAATGCTAAACGTAATTTAAAACAATTCTTAACTTCTCTATGCAACTCTGCAAATCTGGGTTTACCGCATTCAAAACCGGTGGTGGGGAGTATCACTTCCTCAAGGTCTTCTGAAGTTTAAAATTAATGAAAATCATTTTTATCTCTAAACTGGATGGGAGGTGGGTGTGGCCCCTCCGAGGCAGCGAAGGGCCTCATGAAGGTCGGAGGGACCTGGCTGGACCTTTCGCCCATTGCTAGGAGTCCAGCCACAGCCCAGCAGGCCACTGTAACACTGCACCCTAGACTCGACGAGCTCATCCCACACCTCGACGGGCAGCGGCCAACCTGAACCCCGACGGCCAAGCCTCCAGGGCCGGGATCCAGCTCCACCAGGCCGCAGATGGCAAACCAAGAGGCCCTGCGCAGCCTCCGAGGCCCGCCCCGGACTCATTGAGCACCTGAAGATGCCTGCAGCCCTCGGGGGGTCGCAACTCCGGCCCAGGATGTGTCCGTGTGCCTCGAGCGCCAGCCGGGGCTGGGGCCTGGACGCCGCGAGTGCCCAGTGTCCCGGATCTCACTGGCGCACTGCAGCCTGCTCGGCGCGCAATCGGACAAAGGGGATGCTGGTCCCGGCGGCCGTCCGGAGCCGCGATCCAGCGAGCGTCCCGCCGCCAGGATCGGCCTTTACCTGCACGTCACTCAGCTCCACGCGCAGATATAGCTCGCGGTGTCGTTGAGCCCAGTAGACGTGAGGTGTCAGCACCTGGTTCTCCATGGCCACACAGCCCAGTGAGCGAGGAGGCTCGGCTCGCTGCGCCTAGCTGCCTTGGATAGTGCGCGGCTGGAGCCGGCGGATCGCAGGCCGCAAACCCCCGCGGTTGTGAGCGTCTGCAGCCGGGTACCCTCGAGTCGCCCCACGCTCGGGGTCCGCGCCTGCGCAGTGATGACCTGGGGGCGGTGGGGGCGCGAGCCCGGCGCTGAGCGCGAGGACGGCGGGGGCGGGAAGAGGCGGGCCCAGCCGCGGTGACGCTGCAGCGCGCTGCAGCCACCTTGCGAGTTGCGGGGGAAGTCAGCGCTTCCCGCTCCTCTTCGGAGCAATGCTTCAAAATAAAATGAAAAAGCCCAGAGTCTTTTAAGGGACCGATCGGCACGGAAAACGGCTTGGGACTGATGTATCCGTATGGCTCTCCTATCACTCATTAATTCAACATTTACTGAACGCGTACTATGTGCCTGGTGCTTCAAAGCTAAACTTGGAGCTAAAGAAGTGAATAAGACACAGTCCATGTCCCCTTGGAGCGCTCAGTCTATTAATAGACGCAACTAATTACAGACACAATAAGGAAGATAGTGGTTAGAGGAGAAGTAGTGTGGGAAGAGGGTGGAAGTGAAGACTGAAGAGTAACTGCAAAGGCCAGAGGCTTCAGCCCTGTCCGGTAGAACCCCAGTCTGCGCTGTCCACGTGTGGCTTTTGAACATTTGAAATGTGGCAGGTGAGACTGAGCAAATGAATTTTTTATTTTACTTACTTTAAATTAATTTAAATTTAAATAGCCACGTATGGTTAGTGGCTGTTGTATTAGCACAGGAGACTGTCTCCATTAAATTAGAAAACCCAGAGACGGAACCAATTTATGTCTTATTTAAATTCTCTCATCTGTTATCCACTTTTATTCCGAAGTTTTTCTGCAGGGAAGAATTGAGTGGGAAGCAACATTTCTATGAAAACCAGAAGTCTGGGACAAAAATGGAATTTACAGTTCACTTATTAGCACATATTTATTTTGTAACGTGCTGAACACAGGGATCCAGAGATAGAGAGGGATGATGCCAGCTCTCAGGAAATATTTAGCCCAGAGGGCAGAGCGTATAAAACAGGGCATTTTAATACCATGAATGTGCTGAGCTCACAAAGAAGTGGGAAGGTAGGAACTGAGAGTTGTAGGAACAATGGGTGGAATGACGACTTCTTGGAGAAGTGACATTTGAGAGCTAATCCTTGAGAGCTGGTTGGTGAAATGTGAGGAGAAATTTGAAAAGGAGAGAAGCAGAGGTAGAGCAGTGGCAGTACAGGACAGAAGTCCGAAGGTGAAGTGATGTGTAAGGGCTGCATGTTGAAATGTGTAAGGGGGGGGTTATAATTCATGTGTTGTACCAGAATGTGCAATGTGATGTGTAAGGGGGTTACGGTCAGGGAGGAGAAAAGTCACCCTGGCTCTGTAAAGGCAGGTGGGGAGTGGATCAGGAAAGTCTGCTTCACTGAGGTACTTGTGCTGTATCCCAGAGACACAGGAGAGTCAAAGACGTTTGTTACACTATCAGCAAAGCCAATCAAACTATTAGCAAAGTCAAAACAGGTCCTCGGAAGGAGGAATTGGTAGTAGGCAAACCTGTTGGACGCTGATGAAGTCTGCTATGTATGAGATAATGAAATCAGTAACTTTGAGAGCCTTGATTTTTTTTGTGTGTGTGTGCTTTAAGTGAAAGTTTACAATTCAAGTTAGTTTCTCACACAAAAATTTAAATACACAATTATTATGTGACCCTAGTTGCTCTCCCTATACAGTTAAACCTTCCTGCTTTCCACCCTGGATTTCCCGTGTCCATTCAACCTGCTTCTGTCCCTTTCTGCCTTCTCATCTCGCCTCGAGACAAGAGCTGCCCGTTTAGTCTCATATGTCTGCTTGAACTAAGAAGCACACTTTTCATGAATATCATTTTATGTCTTATAGTCCAATCTCATCTTTGTCTGGAGAGTTGGCCTCAGGAATGGTTTTAGTTTTGGGCTAACAGAGAGTCCGGGGGCCATGTCTTCCAGGGTCTCTCCAGCCTCAGTCAAACCATTAAGTCTGGTGTTTTTACTAGAATTTGAGTTCTGCACCCTAATTTTCTCCTGCTCCGTCAGGGACTCTCTGTTGTGTTCCCTGTCAGGGTGGTCATTGGTGGTAGCTGGGCACCATCTAGTTCTTCTGGTCTCAGGCTGATGCAGTCTCTGGTTTATGTGGCCCTTTCTGTCTCTTGGCTAATATTTTCCTTGTGTTTTTGGTGTGCTTCATTCGCCTTTTGAGAGCCTTGACTTTTAAAAAAGAAAATATTTCTTGAAATGGTATAAGTATTTTTACTGCATTGCCTTTACGAAAATGTAGATGCACTACAGGTCACATTTTGGTGTTTGTTTGTTTTTTTAATCGAGGTATAACTTACATATAGGAAATGGGGAAATCTTAAGTGTTCAGCTTAGATTGAATTTTTAATATATGTTTATGCCTGTGTAATTACCACCCAGATGGAGAGCTGGAATACTTCCAGCATCCCAGAGGTTCCTTCACGTCACTGTCCCTTTTCCTCCTCCTACTCCCATAGTTACTATCTGACTTCTACCACCATAGATTAGTTTTGGTCTGGTCTTGATTTGATATAAATGGAATTTACAGTGTGTACACTTTTGTGCCTGGCTTCTGTCACTCAACATAATATCTTTGAGATTTACCCATGTTGTTGCATGAATCGGTAGTTCATTCTTTTTTGTTTTTGTTTGCTTGTTTTTGCTGTGTAGTATTTGCTTGTATGAATATCCCACAGATTATTTATCCAGGCACCTGTCGACGGACACTTGCATTGTTTCCAGTCTATAGCTATTATAAATACAGTTGACACGAACGTTTGCGTACCTGCCTTTTGGTGGTAATCCAGCATATTTGAAACCTGAGGCTTGTCAGCTGACCTCTGACCAAGGTGAAAGCTATTGATGAGCAAGAAGATGGAAACCTGACAGATGCCTCAGATGCTCCGTAGGAGAGGCCCAGTGGAAGGGCGCCTCGTTCATCAACCTGGTCTGTCATTGCTGGGTGACTTCCCTGGGCGTGTGTTTCTCTATCCATCAAATGAAGAGTTAGACTCAGTCATTTTCAATGTTGTAAGCAGCTGTTTCTAAATTTTCCTGCAAAGAAGCCCAGCTATTGTGGGCCCCTCTCTGCTAGGGAAATCTAGTAGGAAAACAATGGAAATGGAGAAAGGAAAGAGTAGCATCCAGATGAATCAGAGAACTAAAAGGTATCAGGGATGAGGAAAGGCAGAGCCAAGTGGCAGTGCCAAGCCAAAGCGGGTAGGGCTGAGGGCTTTATGAAAATATCAGTCTAATGAAAATGCAAATCAGGCACTGTCTTTGTGTCCTGCCTTCTTGGTGCAGCCTTCTCAGCCCCATTTGGCCCAGGGCCATCTCTCCCACCTCTGAACTAAGAGAAGGTCATCACCAGCCATAGGAAGCATTTGCTGAGCGCTTGCCATGTGTGAAGTGCATGCTCAGTGCATAAAGTTTGTCGCAGCGGCGACGGTAATCGGGACGGCGAAGACAGTAACCAACTGCACAACTCTTACAGAGAAGTGGGTCCGGGAGGGTCACTCTGAGGAGTCGACCCCCACTTCAGTCCCAGGAGTTTATTTTATAGTCAATACAGCAATCAATAAGGCAATTAACAAAACAATGGGCTTTGGGTGTGG